GCAATACTGAATTCTATAGACAAAGTATTTCATGACACAGGAAGCATGACAAGAAGATGGAAGGAATACAGTGACTGTATCAAAAAATGATTGATGTTCAAACATTTAAGGAGAAGCATATGATCGAGAACTGATAACTACTGAAGGAAGAAGTTTAAGCTGCACTGAAGGCTTTGGTGAAAAACAAGGCTTCAGGAATCGAGGAACTACCAGCTGAATTGCTTTCACAAACAGATCTAACTCTTGAAGCACTCGCTTGTTTTAAGCCAAAAAAAAAAAAGGGAGGATAAACTACCTGGTCAACCAACTGGATGTGCTTCTTCCAGAAGAAAAGTGATCCAATAAAATTTTGGAATTATCCAACAATATTAATATCACACACAGGTAAAATCATGCTAAAGATAATTTTTAAATGGTTGTAGCAGCGCATTGACAGGGAAGTACCAGAAATTCAAGCCAGATTTAGAAGAGGATTTTAATGAGGGATACCATTGCTGATGTAAGTTGGATGTTCCATGCAAGCAGAGAATACCAGAAACACAATGACCTGTGCTCTGACTATGCAAAGGCATTTGACCTTGTGGATCATAGCAAATTATGGATAGCATTGTAAAGAACAGAATTCAGTAACACTGTCTCTAGAGGTCTCTAGTGATCTCATTATTCCTTGCCTCAAAATCGTTTGGAGTGAAACTAGGGAATACTACCAAGATTTAATTATAATTCTGAAATTACTGAACCATTAATTTTTCAACCTTATATAAAGCTTAAGAAAATTTTAAGAAAACATAAAAATAATTACAACTTTGTATTTGTTGGTTTAAAAGTCCTTATACTATTTTATCCTTTGTCCATGCAGAATGCATTATATGTTGTTGTTGTTGTCAGGTGTCATCGAGTCGGAACCGACTCATAGTGACCCCATGCACAGCAGAACGAAACAATGTTCGATCCTGGGCCAACCTCACTACCACTGCCACACTTGAGTCCATCAATGATGCCACCTGGCTGATCCATCTCGTTGGGGGTCTTCCTCTTTTTCTCTGACCCTCCACCTTACCCAGCATGACATCCTTCTCCAACGATTGTTTCCTCCGGACAATATGTCCAAAGTAGGAGAGACGAAGCTTAGCCATCCTGGCCTCCAAGGAGCACTCTGGCTGCACTTCTTCCAAAACAGATCTATTGGTTCTTTTGGCAGTCCATGGCACTTTCAGTATTCTCCTCCAACACCACAACTCAAAGGCATCAATTCTTCTACGATCCTCCTCATTCACTGTCCAGCTTTCGCATCCATATGAGGCTATTGAAAACACAATGGCCTGGGTCAGGCGCACCCTAGTCCTCAAGCTGACATCTCTGCTCTTCAACACTTTAAAAAGTTCCTGTGCAGCAGATTTGCCCAGTGCAATATGTCGTCTGATCTCTTGACTGCTACTTCCGCGAGTGTTGATAGTTGATCCAAGAAGAATGAAGTCCTTGACAACTTCAATCTTTTCTCCATTGATAAGAATGTTGTTTATTGGTCCAGTGGTGAGGATTTTTGTTTTCTTGACATTGAGATGTAATCCATATCAAAGGCTGTGCTCTTTAATCTTCATAAGTAAATGTTTCAAGTCCTCTTCACTTTCAGCGATCAAGGTTGTATCATCTGCATATCTCAGGTTGTTAATGAGTCTTCCTCCAATCCTGATGCCACGTTTTTCTTCATAGAACCCAGCTTCTCTTATTATTTGCTCAGCATACAGGTTGAATAAGTATGGTGAAAGAATACAACCCTGTCTCACACCTTTCCCAATTTTAATGCATTATTTAAAACCCCATTTTTTTTTTTTTTTGGAAGTTAAAAAAAAAGTTTTATCATTGTTTTTATGGCAAAAAAAAAAAAAAGTATTATGATATTGTGTTGTCTAGTGCTGTTGAGTCAGTTTTAACCTAGATGAGTCAGTAATATGGTTGGGTTTCCTAGCAGCAGCTGGTGGGTTTGAACCACCAACTTTGCAACAGGCAGTTATGGAAGTGTTTCCAAAGTTCCTTTAAATATATTCTTTAATCATAGTCAATATCTGCAATGAATTCACTTTAATAAGTGATACTCATTCTTTATTTTTAAATTTATTTGTTGTTTTTAGATGCTATTGAATCAGTTACGACTCATAGTGACCCTATGCACAATAGAACGAAATAGTACCCAGTCCTCTGCCATCCTCACAATCGTTGTGTCATGTGACATGGCTCATGTCATGGTGCCAATCCATCTTGTTGGTGGTCTTCCTCTTTTTCCTTGACCCTTTACTTAATCAAGCATTATGTCTTTCTCCAGAGACTGGTCTCTCCTGATAATATGTCTGAAGTGCAAAGACTTCTGGTGTGGTGCTTTAGGATCAGTACTGGACCGTGAACTACAAGATCAGCAGTTCAGACTCATCAGCTGCTCTTTGGAAAACCTATACAGGGTTGCTGTGCGTTGGAACCGACTCAATGGCACTTAACAACGACAAAAACAATGGATGAAATCTGACCTCTCTGGCTTCTGAAGAGTATTCTGGCTGCACTTCTTCCAACACAGATTTGTTTGTTCCTCTAGAAGTCTATGGTACTTTTAACATTCTCCAACACTGTAACTCAAATGCATCAATCCTTCTACTGTCTTCCTTATTCATTGTCCAGCTTTCCCATGTGTATGAGGCTACTGATAACACCATGGCTTGGGTCAGGCACACCTTATTTGTGAAGAAATAAAGAAGCCTGCTGTGTTAACAAATTCAAAAGTGATATAACAATGTCACCAAGGATTTAGCTTCATGTTACAGTCCTAAATTTGATAAAAGCTAATGATAGCAAAAGGAGCTCTGGTAGTGTAGTGGTTACGAATCAGGGCTGTGAACTGCAAGGTCAGCAGTTTGAAACTACCAGCTGCTCTGCGGGAGAAAGATGAGGCTTTCTGCTCCTGTAAAGATTTAGTCTCGGAAACCCTGTACAGGGTCACTATGGGTCGGAACCAACTCGACGGCACTTAACAACAATAGCAATGTTAGCAATATTTATTTTCTACAGCTTAAAAATAATCTACATTATCATTTTTTAAAACTTCCTTGATTCTGAATGTCAGGTTAAAATGTAGTTTTTAGCCTTCTATTCTAGGTTCCAAGGGGCTCTGGTAGCATAGTGGTTACGAATCCGGCTGCTAATCTCAAAGTCAGCAGTTACAAACTACCAGCAGTTCAACTGGAAAAAGATGAGGCTTTCTGCTCCTGTAAAGATTTACAGCCTCTGAAACCCTATACAGGGTCGCTATGAGTTGGAATCGACTCTACAACACATCACCACCACCACCACCACCATTCTAGGTTCCTGGTGCCGCCCTTGAAGGATTAGTGCAGGACTGCAAAGTGGGTTTGAATCTCAAGGCTGGAGATTCAAACTCAACAGCGGTTCTTGGGAAACTCTATACTGTGTCCCTATGAGTTGGAAGGACTCTAGGCACTTAATAACCACATTTGTAAAGCACTTTAAAAAAAAATGATAAGGTGGATTATCTTTAGTCTTTGAATGACCATCTTAAATTTTCAAACAACCAATCTGGATACAACTATTTTTCAATTTCTCTTTAAAATTTTTAAAAGTTCTTACAATGTCATAAAGATTTTAATAGAATCTGGTGGAGCTCACCTTGATAACGACAGTGCAGAATTGCCGTTTAACATGTGTGTTCTTTAACCATCCTGTGTTCACAGTAGCAAGACGTTCAAATTTCAAAAACATTTCAACAATATTCAAAACCATAGTCAAACCAGAACTTTATACTGCCCGGGGATCTATCATCATCCCAGTCTAGATGGGGTTCGGGAGTTCTGGTGTAGCCTTGCAGGATCACTGGACTGCTAACCGTAAGATGGGAGGTTCAAACCCACCAGCCGCTCCTGCTAGGCGCCAACAAGTCGGCTCTGACTTATAGGGACCCTATGCACAACAGCAGGAAACGCTGCTCAATCCTGTGCCATCCTCACAACTGTTACTGCGCCTGAGCAAGTTGTTGCTGTCACTGTGCTAATCCATCTTGTTGGAGGTCTTTCTCTTTTTGCTGACCCTCCAATTTACCAAGCATGATGTCCTTCTCCAGGGACTGGTCCCTTCTGATAATAGTCCCATGTGTGAGAGACAAGTCTGTCCATCCTGGCTTCTAAGGAACATTCTGGTTATACTTCATCCAACACAGATTTATTTGTTCTTCTGGCAGTCCATGGTACTTTTAATATTCGTTTCCAACAACATAACTCAAATGCATCAATTATTCTAAGGTCTTCTTGGAAACCCTTTATAGGATCTCTGAGTCCCAACCGACTAGATGACACTTAACAACAGAGGTTGTTCTTAAAAGTCGTGTTTTAATCGTTTAATTAAATAAACGATCTATTATATTTTGAATTCGAATTTGAAATGCAGGTCATACAGTTCAATTAAAATGTGAATACTGAGAACCACCTTTCTCACAGCTGGGGGCTCAGGGCTCTCCAGTCCCTAAAAGCAGATCTTTTAAGTTACAGGGGCGTGACTTCTCAAACCACAGACTTCCAAGTTTAGTTCCTCCTTTGTAAATCCCACAGCGCCCTGAATCCATAGCGGAGGGAGGAAGGGACCAATTTATCCCCGGACTGACAAAGGAACGAATCTGGCAGGAGTGAAAGATGTGCACTCTTTCCTCCAGGATCCCATGAGCACCAACCTGGCATGAGCCAAAGCAAAGACCCAGGAGGGAGCACCTCAAACGCTGTTCATTTACTGTGCCGCGGCGCTCCCGGAATGGAATCCATAATTCGGTGGGAGAAAACGCGGCAGAACACTCGTGTAAGAGCAGCGCGGCCCAGACAGAGCGGAACCTGACTGCGGGTGCGCTAGTTTCCGGCAGGAGGAGAGACGCGACCGGACTCAGGTCCTCTGCGAACTGGCCTCGTCTAGCGTCGCCCCGTCTCCGTGCGGCGCGGGACTGAGAGTCCAGCCATGAAGTTCCGGGCCAAGATAGTAGACACTGCTTGTCTAAACCACTTCACGCGTGAGCTGGGGGCCGTACCGAGAGGACGGAAACCGGAAGGATGAAGGGAGGGCGAGAGGACGCGGGGAAAGTAGCAACCAGGAGGCTGCACCTTTGCGCGTAGCTGGGATCCGCGATAGTGTGGGGGCACCCGCGGGCGAGGAAACAGTATAGAAACCAGGGATGTTTCTAAAACTCACCTTTCATCATGAGTCTGCTTAGGTCTATTGTTAAATGCCGTCGAGTCAGTTCTGACTCATAGCGAGCCTGTATAGGAGCAGCTGGTGAGCTTGAACCGCCGACTTGAGGTTCAGACGACCGGCGCATTAACCCACAACGCCACACCAGGACTCCTTAAGTCGTTTATTGGCTCCAATATCCTTATTGGAAGGATAGGGAAGGAAGGAACTATGGGCTCTGAGCTCTGAGCATGTATTGCAATCCTGAATGCAACCACTGGTCGCTTTCGACTTGAAACAGGTCTGAAGAGGGTTTCTGAGGCTGTAAATCTTCACAGGAGCAGAATTGTCTTTTCCTCAAGAGCAGTTGGTGGATTCCAACCACGGACCTTGCTGTTCGTAGCCCAGCCATAACCCACTATACTAAGGTTCCTGGAATGGAACCACCACCTGATCAAACCTCAGATTTATTTGAATATTGAGAATATGTGCTGCATACATCACAGGGTTGTTGGAAGACTACAACATCACTGATGCCTTCCAGCGAGATAGAAATAGAAACTGCTGTTTATTCACAGAAATGTTGCAACATGGCAAATGAGATGTTCTTTAAATAAAATGGCCTTTACTATCGTGGTGTGGCACTGTAGGATAAGCACTAAACTGCAAGGTCGGTTTGAACTCAAGGGCAGCAGTTCAAACTCACCCGCCGCTCCTCGGAAACCCTATACAGGGTCACTATGAGTTGAACCAACTGGAAGGCACTTAACAACAAAAATACATCATGTCCTGGTGTGGCGTTGTAGGATAAAGCGCGGGACCGCAAGGTCGGTTTGAACTGTAAGGGCAGCGGTTAAAACTCACCAGCTGCTCCTTGGAAACCCTTTATAGGGTAGTTATGAGTTGGAATCCACTCGACAGCACTTAACAACAACGTACATGATGTGGAGTACTGGTGTGGCCTTGTAGGATAAGTTCGCCATCTGGTCCTAGGAAACCATATACAGTATCACCATGTGTTGGAACTGACTCGATTGCACTAACAATAACAGCAACATACATGATTTTGGACCTTGGTGCCTCAGTGGTTAAAGCATTTCAAACATAACAGCCACTTTGCAGGAGAAAGAGATGGCAGTCTAGTTCTGTTAAGATTTACAGCTTTGGAAACCCTAAGTGGCAGTTTTCTTCTGTCCTGTAGGGATAGTATGAGTCAGCGTTGACTTGGCAGTGGGGTTGGTTTGGGTTTATGCATGATTTGTTAAGTGCTTTTAAGTCTATTCTGACTCTTGGTGGTGGTGGTTATGTGCCGTGGAGTCGGTTCCAATTCCTAGCGACCATGTACAGGATTTCCGAGGCTGTAAATCTTTACAGAAGCAGAAAGCCTCATCTCTCTCCTGTGGAACAGCTGGTAGTTTCGAACTACTGACCTTAAGGTTAGCAGACCAATTCATAACCACTATGCTATAGCGACCCCATATAGAATTTCCAAGGAGCGACTGGTGGATTCGAGCTGCCAACCTTGCAGTTCAAACCGACCATGTGGTCCAGTGCATTATCCTGCAGTGTTACACAGAACTTCTATACATGTTGTTGTTAAGTGTTGTGGAGTTGGTTCCGACTCATAGCGACACTGATGTAAGTCATAGTAATTCTTTACTTTAACCCCTTGCGATAGGAATCAGTAACATGATAGCCAAGCTTGCCAAAACTTGCACCCTCCGCATCAGTCCGGAGAAGCTGAACTTCATCCTTTTAGATAAGGTGGCCAATGGAGGGGTGAGCATGTGGTGTGAACTGGAACAGGTGAGTAGAAGCTTGGGAGAAGCCCACACACTCAGCCTTAAGGCCATTGGAAAGACTATACATCCTCCCCTTTTTCTCCCCTTAGGAGAACTTCTTCAGTGAGTTTCAAATGGAAGGGATCTCTGCAGAAAACAATGAGATTTATGTAGAGCTGGTATCGGAAAACTTATCTCGAGCCTTGAAAACGACCCAGAATGCCAGAGCCTTGAAAATCAAGCTGACTAACAAGCATTTCCCGTGCCTTACAGTCTCTGTAGAACTGGTAAGTAGGACAAAGGACATTTCAGAAATGTCTCAGAAGAAATACAGTCATTATAAGCTTAGGCTTTTTAACTGGGTGGCACACTTTCCATTCAGCTACCAACCAGAAGGTTGGCAGTTTGAAATACCCAGTAGTACGGGAGAAAGATGAGGCTTTCTACTCCCGTAAGGATTTACACCCTCGGAAACCCTGTACAGGGTCGCTATGGGTCGGAACCGACTCGAAGGCGCTTAACAACAACAACAACAACTGTTGAATAAAGGTCTGGCAGCCTGCCTCTATAAATACTAAACCCATAACGTACTGTCACTGAGTCAATTTCGGTTCATATCAACCTTGCATAGGGTTTTTGGGAGCTGAAAGCCTTATCTTTCTCCTGCGGAGCTGCTGGTGGCTTTGCACTGCCAACCTTGTGGTTAGTTATCCAGTGCTATCTTTCAGCACCCAAGAAACCCCTGGGGCACTTCTACTTTGTATTGCATGAATTGATTCCTCAACAACACATAGTTTTTCCCCACCTAAAAGCAATTCTGCTGATAGCTGGGTTTATTTAAAAGTAGTTGTTCTTAAGTGCTGTCGAGTCAGTTCCAACTCATAGCAACCCTGTATAGGGTTTCTGAAGAGCAGCTGGTGAGATTGAACTGCCGACTTTGAGATGCAAACTGACCTTGCGGTGCATTATCCAGTGCATTCTCCTGCAGTGCCACACCAGGACTCCATTTAAAAGCAGGCTAGTTTTTAACTGGAGCTAATTTTTCTTCATTTGTAAAGACAGTGTTATGATTATATAATACTCAGCTAGAATGCTGCCTTTTCTTATTCAATATAACTTCTGCATCTTCTCAGATCTATAAATCTTAACCCTCTTTATTTCTTTTTGTGGTATTGTCACCTAATCTAGAAATTAAACCATTTTCTCCTTGAAATGTTTTTTTTCCCTTAACCTGCTGCAGTACCCTTTAAATGACCTCTCATTCAGTGGTTGCATACCTGTCTTCCTACCAGATGAATTCATCGCATACCTCGCCTCAAGATAGAACACGCACACCCAGTCGCTCTCCCTGTTCTCATAATGAAGTTCTATTTGTCTTGGTATGATGTATAAAGGCCTTCATGTTAGGACCCATCCTGTCTTGAAACTAAATCATAAATTACTATCCTGAGTAGTTCTTTGGATTTGTCCCATTCTTTTCCAACTCCCAGATGCTGATGATGTTGGGTCTTTCACTTACTTGAATCTCCTCACTCTTGAAAACCACATTTTCATTTGGTGCTCAGCACTTTTGCTGTCTCCTCAAAGGTCTCGTTCTTCTGTGCTGGATGCACTTTATGTATTTTTCTTGGGAGTATTATATTCAGTGTAAGCCTCTGTGGAAGGGGATTTATCAACTTTTCTTTATAAATTTTTCCCAACTCTTAGCTGCTTTGCAATCTTGGAGGCACTTCTTGGAATGAATCAAGGCTCCCATGCCATAATCTAAGTTTGGTGTATTTCTCTCATTGCTTAGGAGGGTAACAAAAGCTCTTTTCTAAGAGTACAATATAGTTTGGAAGGACACCTGGTAGCATAATGGAATACGAGCTGGGCTGCTAACTGCAAGGTCAGCAGTTCAAATCTACCAGTAGCACCATGGGAAAAAGATGCTTCCATAAAGATTTACAGCCTTGGAACTGACTCGACAGCACTTAACAACAATAAACGTCTGTTTCTAAGACTTTTTATTAGATTCATAATAAAGCAAAGTATCTTGGTGGTGGTGGTGGTGGTTGTGTGCCGTGGAGTCGGTTCTGACTCATAGCAACCCTGTGTAGGGTTTCCAAGGAGTGGCTGGTGAGCTTAAATTGCTAACCTGCATTTCAAACCAGCTTTGCATGCAGTCCAGCGCAATAATCCCCAGCGCCATGCCGAAACATGTTAGAAACACATAAATCTAGTTTATCTTTTCAGTAGTGTAGAAACTGGAGCAAGCAGGGTACCATGTGAACAAATAGTGGCCTTTCCTGTCTTCCTTGAACATAGCAAGTTTGTCTCATTTTTCAGAACTTTATGCATGCTATTTCCTGTGCCCTCTCAGCCCCCCATCTTCTCCTTGCTGGTTGCTTGTCCTTTTTTGCATGGCCTGTCACGTGCCTTCTCTTTAGAGAGGCCTTCCGTGATCACCTAGTCTAAGGAACCTCCTTCTACACTGTCACTCATTTTTGGATTCTTCCAGGCTCTAGTGAATGTCCCCGAAAACATTGTTCCGTTTGTTTTTTTGCCTATGGAGCTAGCCATCTGTTCTTGAGTAACAAGGTCATTGTCTTATTCACTATTTTCTCTGTTGTTGTCAGGTGCTGTCCAGTCGGTCGCAACAACTCATAGTGTCCAATCCTGCAACATCCTCACAGTTGTTACGTTGTAGCTCATTCTTACAGCCACTGGGTCAGGCCATCTTTTTGGGGATCTTTCTCTTTTTTGCTACGCTCTAAAAATACAAAAAAAGAGTCAGAAATGACTTGATAGCACTTAACAACAATTATGCCAAGCATGATACCCTTTTAAAGTAACTGGTCCCTTCTGATAACATGTCCAAAGTACGAGAGCAGTCTTAGCATTCTTGTTTCCAAGGCGCAGTCTGGCTTCACGTCTTCTAAGACAGATTTGTTTGTTCTATTGGCAGTCCATGGTTCTTTCAGTATTCATCATCACCACCACCATAGTTCACATGCATCTAGTCTCCTCTGTCTTCCTTATTCATTGTCTAGTTTTCACATGCATGTGAGGCAATCGAAAATACCATGGCTTGGATCAGGTGCACCGTAATCCTCAAAGTGACAGCGTTGGTCTTTATACATGAAAAAGGTCTTTTGCAGCATACTTGCCTAATGCAGTATGTCATTTGATTTCTTGATTGCCACTTCTGTGAGTGTTGATTGTGGGTCCAAGTAAGATGAAATCTTTGACAACTTCCATCTGTTTGTTATGTATCGTTGAGTTGGTTCCGACTCCTGTGACACTATGTACAACATAATGAAACACTGCTTGGTCCTGATGCATCCTCACACTGGTTTTCTGTGTAAGCCCATTGCTTTTGCTACTGTGCCAATCCATCTTGTTGGGGGTCTTCCTTTTTTCCATTGACCTTTCACTTTACCAAGCATGATATCCTTCTCCAGGGACTGGTCCCTACTGGTATCATGCCCTAAGCATGAGAGACAGAGTCTCATAATCCAGGCTTCTGAGGAGCATTCTGTCTGCACTTCTTCCAAGACAGATGTATTTGTTTTTCTGACAGCTCCTGGTACTTTCAGCATTGTTCTCCAACACCGTAACGCAAAGAAATCAATTCTTCTGTGGTCTTTTATTTATTATTCAACTTTCACATGCGTCTGAGGCAAGTGAAAATACCATAACTTGGGTGAGGTACCCCTTAATCCTCAAACCTGATATCTTTGCTCCTGAACATTATAAATAGGTCTTGTGCAGCAGATTTGCCTAGCACAATATATTGCTTGATTTCTTAGCTGCTGCTTCACTGAGTATTGATTGTGGATCCAAACAAAGTGAAGTATTTGACAACTTCAATCTTTTCTCCATTTATCTTGGTGTTATTTATTGGTCCAGTTGTGAGGATTTGTATTCTCTTTATGAGGTACATTCCGTACTAAAGGCTGTTGTCTTTGATCTTAATCAGTATTTTAAGTCCTTTTTGCTTCCAGCGAGCAAGGCCCTGATGAGTCCCCCCTCTATCTCCTAACAATACCCACAAAATCACAGGCACTCCATAAATATTTGTTGCATGGATTTTAAGTGAATGAATTCAGACCATTCCATTTAGATTTGACATATCAACTTCTTTGGGTCCTTCAAGTCTTCTGTTTTTATTGTATTTTTTATTATTGATATAAAGCAATGTTTTCAACCTTCTCTTGGCAGTTCTCTGTATCAAGTAGTAGTCGCATTGTGACACACGACATCCCCATAAAGGTTATTCCTAGAAAACTATGGAAGGATTTACAAGAACCGACAGTTCCAGACTCTGATGTAAGTTATTGCTTAGTTTTGCTCTTCCTCATATAGTACATGGTGTGATTTGCATTCTCTAATTTTACCTTTAGTCCTATAGTATATGTCATTTGAAAATAGCACTCTCCCCAAAAAGAAAGTCATAGCTGTTCACTTTTAAAGGACACTCAGAAAAAAACATGGAATATTTATCTTTTGTAATTTACACAGACCATTTTAAAATGGTGTTGTGTATAACAGAAATGTCACACTTTTTGCAAATCGAACAAAGAATGTCCTCCTTAATAGTTGTTGTTGTTAAGTGCCAACAAGTTGCTTCCGACTTACAGCAACGCCTTGTACGGTTTTTTGAGGTGTAGCTGGTGGGTTTGAACTGCTGACCTTGTGATTCGCAGCCCAGTGCTGATGCTACAGCACCATACCTGTTCTTCTTCTTAATAGTAGCATTTATAAAACAAGCAAATAAACAAAACCTTGAAATTATACATACTGTGGCAGATAGTCATCATCTATGTGAAATGTTGGCCTTGAGCCCCATTTGGGTCTGACAGTTCCTGGGAAATGTGTAAGAGAGCTAAGAGGTAAGACATTTTCACAATTCAGAATTTGTTTGAAGAGTCCTGGTGTGGCGCTGTGGGTTAATGTTCAGCCGCTCCTTGAAAACCCTATACAGGGTCACTATGAGTCAGAACTGACTCCATGGCACACCACCACCACCACCACTCATAGTAATCCGAGAACCACTCAAATTAAAGATGATACCAAAGGGTTCTATGCTGAGGGAGAAATCACACAAATATACTAGATAAAATAATGGACTTTTAATAGGAGGCATCTGCCTTGATTTGGGAAAAGCTAGTATTTCATGTAGGATCACTTGTAACAGGCTTAGCTCCGATGCTCTATTTTTGCCTAGTATGGAAGGTGCCTCTGAGCCCCAGTCGTAGTCATTCCTTAGGGGAAAACCTCCTGCCGAGTTTTAGTCCCCTTGGACTTATATAAGGACCTTTTAGCTGAAGTGCTGTAACCTTTCTGGAAGCAGAACAATGCCTACAGGGACTTAGTTGCCAGGGTAACCAGAGGTAGGCATTCGGTTCTTTAAGTTTTCTTGTAGTATATTCCTGAATTAGTAAAATTATAAAATTAGGTTTTTTCTTCATATTTTGTAAGAGTTTTATTCAGGCAATTAAAAAATATAGGATTCCAGAGGTTTTACTCATGCATGCATTGTAACAATAGTTATTGTTGATTGTTATTAGTTTGACTTCTCACATTGGTCTTGTAGGTCAGTATTTACTTGCCAGTGTTAAAGACTATGAAGAGTGTTGTGGAGAAAATGAAAAACATCAGCAATCATCTTGTAAGTAGTTACTTTAGGCAAGAGCTCAAGTATATATCACTTAACATGTCTGATGTGTTCTGAAGTGGGATGTTATGTGATTTGCACATTGTCTGAACACCGTATGATATACAAGGGGGCTTCAGCAATTCCATCATCTTTTCATTTCATTTCCATGAAGTTTTTGCTGCCTCTGGGCATGTCTTGCTTTCCAAGTAGCTACAGGGAACTTGTCCCCTTGAATTGGAAGTCCTGAGGGATGGATTTACGCAGCCATATCCCAGTGTCTCCCCAAGGCGCTGACCAGCGGGGCACCTGGGCAGTGCATGTGGCTCAGCTGAGCTGCAGTTGTAACAACACTGCCGACTCCGACTGGCTCACACTTCCCCACCCTGTGGATGCATATGTAGTCTGGCATTGCTCACATGCACATTATGTAGCACATCCGTCCTTCTTTTAGCCTGCGTGGGCTGCTTGGTCTCTGGAGAAGCTTAATGTGGACCAAAGGAAATCTATGGTATGCCTAGTAGGTGCTTCTTCCCTGAGCCCAAATCACTGAGAACCTGGCATGGTCTCAGAACCTGCACTGTTACAGTGGCCCTTAGTAACCTATTCTGGTGCTTTGAAGCTCTAATACAATATGGAAAGATTTTATGTTTGCCTTTAATCCCAAATACTTAACAGCCCTGGCCTTTTTGCTTATATATTGAATAGAACATTAAATATTTTGTTTGCTGATGGGGAAACTTTAAGGACTCAGTGATGTTATTGACAATTTAGAGTATACTATCTGATCGCCGGCACTTTACAGCAACATCTGATCCATCCCTGTATATCTCTCATTGAGCCATGACAAAGATCCTCAAAACTATACATCTGTATTCTCAACAGTCCTAAAACCAAGTAGATAGGCCTTTCATTTTCATATATTTTTAACATTTGTTTGTTTTTATTTAATAGTCACAATTTTAATGTTCAAAACACATAAAAATCTTACAATACAAATGCTTCTTATTGTCAACCAGTTGATAATTAAACAAAAGGCAAAGTCCATAAATTATTAAAAATATATTTTAAGTATTGTTGCTTTGTAGTATGTTTTAGTACTTTAGAGTTTAATTGCACCATTCTTCTTTCTCAGACTTACTTGGAAAACTAACATAAGCATTTCACACAGCAATATTAACATCATTGGCCAGTTTTTAAAAACATTCTTGGTGTTGTATTTGTCGTTTTTTTTTTTTTTGTTTTTTTTTTTTTAACCTTTTTATTATGAATTGGGTGAAAGTTTACAGAGTGATTACTCTAATTTTCCATTCAACAATTCATATACATTTTGCCTTGTGATATTGGTTTGAATCTTTGCTATGTAACAGAACTCTTCCTACTTTGATCCTGTGTTGACCATCTCCATTTGTCCTTTCCTACCTTTTTAGCTACACACCATCCTTCACCCTCCCACCGTTTTGATCTTTCTTATATGGTTGATTGTTCTAAGGAGTTAAGGAGTGCTTACTCCCTGGTGTTACTGTTCATCTTACAGCCCAGTCTGTTGTTTGGTTTTGGAGTGCTGGTGTGGCACTATAGGATAAGTACTCGACTGCAAGCTATGTTTGAACTGTAAGGTGAGTGGTTCAAACTTACCAGCTGCTCCTCAGAAACCCTAGACAGGTTCGCTTTTTGTTGAAACTGACTCAGGGGCACTTAATAACAACAACATTGTTTGGCTGAAAGTTGAACTGTGGGGGTGAGTGCAGTTCCAGGCCTGAAGGGTGGCTAAACCTCAGTCTTAGGGGTTCCACAAGGGGTTATATCACCAGTAAACCTCATCTTCATTATAATTTGAGTTTGTGTCTCCCACTCTGTCCAGAATCTTGTAATGTGATCTTTTTTTTTTTTTTTAATGTTTTATTGTGAATTATGTGATAGTTTACAGTTTACATGGGAGAACATTAGTTTTACATTCATTCTATCGTATAT